TGTTGTAAATAGTAACATGTTACTCTATTTCACAGTAACATGTTACTCTATCTCATAGTAACATGTTACTCTGGCAATATTATCCAAAAAATAATAATAATAATATTTTACTATATCTTTGCTTAATTATGCGCCTCTTCCTTGGAGAATTTATGAAACAAAATAAATTAAATTATCTATTTCACCAAACAAAAGTCCAATGGAGAGGTTTGACTAAAATTCTAATTTTGAATCCAAACACAATGTTATAGTTTCTAGTTAATTTTCTTTACACGTCTTGTTTATCATTTTCATCTTTTGTCACATATAATTTTTCATTAGTTTGGAAACAAAAACAAAGAAAATTTAATAAACATCCACATCTTTAGCAGAAAAGAACCAATGATTTTGAAGAAAAAACAAGCAGGGTATATAAAAACCATTATCAAGCTAATATAGACTGCTAAACTAGATGACAGTTGAACAACTTTGATCCAGATCTATTTTGTGCAAGTTACTTGCAATTATAATATCGTATAGAAAAAGGAAAAAAACACACCACACAGCGAATCTCAGTCGTAAATTTGTAACCGGCCCATCTTTATCAGCCAAACTGTCTACAGTTACAGAGACAACCAAGGATTCTTGAATATCCTTGGAACTACAGCTCGCACCAACGCAATCTGACGACACATTGATAAACTTGTCACGGGGTTGACTCAGTTTCCGCTGGTTTCAATTCAGTATCGGCTATGTTAGAAGTTGAGGATTTCTCGTCTGCAGCTGCAGTAGCAGACTGATTTCCATGATCAGAAGTCGAGGATTTCTCATCTGCATCAGCAGCAGCAGCAGCAGCACTCATGGGGTTTCTTGAACTGCACCAAGATCATGGTCATGTTGTCACATCCCTCACCGCCAGAAATAGATGGTGCCAAACACCTATCAAGTACTCTTTCACATACCACACAGCTTGCTTTCATGCATAATTAGGAAAAACAAACAAACAAATTTTTATATTTGATTGAGGTACCCAAAAATTTGTATTGCCAAATTCTACTTCTGCAAGAATTCTAAGATTGTCAAAAGCTCAAAAAACTGGTCACTAAGATCAGCAACTCTTTCAACAGGTGGGTAATGTGTTATAACAAACAATTTATGATGTCGACAGTGAAAGCTGAAATATCAGGATTGAAAAAATGAAAACCATGGATATGGTAAATGTACCACCATTGCTACACATAGCCAGTGGGGGTTGCCAAAGCTTTGCCCAAGAGTTGATGTGTGGTGAGAAATTTATTTATGTATAACATTACCAACAATACTTATGTACCCAGAGAGACAACCACAATCCCAACCAATACAACACATGCTTTCTCTATCTTTTCTTGCAAGGAAAATCTTATTCCAATTTCAGTATCAATCACTAAGCATGCATTTTTGCTTTTGGTCCATGGCAAAAAAAAATGCATGTACTTGCTTAAGTAGCTTCTTCAAAGTATACTATTGATAAGAATTACCACACTTAATTATATATGCCTTATTCCACCAATACAAATGGGCATAACAAAGAGAGATCTCACACACTTACTGTGTTCAACTGCTCACGTAGAAAATCTACTAGCTGCTGGCTTGACATGCAATCCCTGAAAAGAATTCAAAATCCAAGTGATTATTAGATATTTGAAATATGATCGACACTTGTATTGGCAAAAATGCTAATTCTATTGGTTTATAGGAAGAATTTAAGCAAGCTTGGGAGCTTTACAACAAACTACTTATACATAAACAAAGTCGAGCAGCATATAAACCCCAAAAATCCTCCCAATGTATCATTATAACATATACAGTTTTTTAATTTTTTAGTGTTGGGCAGGGACGGGGGCAAGAAGCTTTGTTGCCAATCTTTAAATGCGTCAAAATGAATAATTTTTTTCATTATTAAGTGAAAAATTATATCTATCACACAGTTCAGGTTTCTCAGAGTGTAATTCTTAACTGCTTGATTTGCTCAAACATATTTTTCTCCAAATAATTAGGATGCAATTATAATCCAAATACAGCACAAGTAAAAACCTGCAATTCTAGAAAGAAACCAACTTGAAAGAAACCAAACTCATTTTTAAAATTCTTTCTATCCCTATTTTAACCAATGTCTAGGACAATAGACACTTGGTAAATCATCGCAACTCACAATTATTTCCAAAATATCCCGATATTAACCATTGTCTAGGACTGGAGGTCATCAAATGGCCTGCAAATAAAAAAGCCCAATATTATTCAATCCGCCCAACACGTTCCAACCTGCTTAAGTGTCCAGCCCATTCTAATCCATAAAAGATGATTTCAGGATTTGACAAAAGTTTGTTATCCAAGCCCGTCCATAAACTCGGCCCATAAGAGCCCGCACGGATAATCCTGGCTCGACCATCCCATTAGCCTAACTCAAATTATCCCGTCCATATTTTTATTTATTTATTTTTTATATGTATCTAAAAAAATCTACACCGTTCAGTTCAAATTCAATCCATTAAATATATTAATAATTATATACATATGTACGATATTGAATGTGCACTTTTAGGCTGATGTTTATAATTTTATTTTAATGTGTAAGTTTAAACTCGTGAGGTTTTTGAGGAGGTAGCACACGATCAAATTCAAAATAGAAAAGGCCAACCTACTTGGGTTTCTAACTTGTGTGAAGTTAGTCCTTTTGTTTTTTTCCCCCACTTGCAAGTATTTTAAATAAATTACATTTCTTGATTGTTTTTTCATTATATGAGATGTAAAAAGGTAAAAAATAAAAAAACAAAAGGGAATGTGCTACAAGTGTACTTCCATTATATGACTAAAAAACAATCATATAATGAAAAAACAAGTGGGGGAAAATCACAAAAGTACATAACAATATATATTATATATATATATATATATGGTACATACCCTTAACAGGGGGTGAAGAAGTAAAAAAGGAAAAGGTTGCTGTGGGTCCTAGTAAGGACAAGAGACAAACTTCAATTTCTTCCACGCTTAATGAGATGGAATCTTGAGCTATTAAACTTTCTTCATCACAGGATGAAAACAAGAGTAAACTTGAGGAGAAGACTAGCAGTCCATCCTACGACAATGGGATTGTTAAGAGGATGGAGAAGTCTTTCACTTCAAGGGAAGAGAACAAGAAGAAATTAGACAAGAAGATCAGATATTTAAAGCTAGCAATGAAAAAAGGCTTTGCAAATCTGTCAATCAAACTGAAGAAGCCATGCTTCAAACCTTCAAGCAGAGGCCAAAACTTTCCAAAGCAAGGGCAAGGTGGAGATGCCAATGTTTCCTGGCTAGTTTTGCATACTATCCTTTGGGTTTATGAGAGGATAGTCTTCTGTCTGTCCTTTGTATGTGACCTAGGTCCTTGGGTTGTGATTATGAGAGTCTTTGTAGTCTAGGTAGTATATAATGTAATGTTAAAATTTACCATCACCTACTACCAATTTACCATCACCTACCACCACCTACTCCTCACCTACTCCTCACCTACTACACTCACCCTCTACCTCTACTCCACTACACACTCCACTTCACCTAACCCACTATCACCTCCACTACACCTACTACCACATTTTCTTCTATATATAGATTGTATAGGAATTGTAATTAATCAATCTTGTAATCTATCAATCAAGAAATCAATCAATAATACAATTCTCTATTTCTCTTTATACATTAAATTTTCTACATGGTATCAGAGCCATAAGATTTAGGCCTATATTTCTTTCTCACCGGCGGGCAGTCGGCCGGCAACCTTGCCTTCACTGCCCGCTGGAGTTTTCTAAACATACCTTCACTCCGCTGCCACTCATCAGAATCACTGTCGATATTCATTGGATAACAGATGTTCTGCTCGGCCCGCCTTCTTAGCACAAAGACATTAAAGTAATAGCTGACGATGTCTTTTTTGGTCCGGTTAGGGAAAACCATTGAAAGATGATCCCAAAAGTTCTTACCCAATGATGCGGGATTTGAAAAAAACCACCTCTTGAAATAAGTGTTCTTCCTCTAGACTCCATCTTCCTGCCACTACCTCTCCCATATCACAGAATCCCAGCTCCAAAAATCTCTCTGGGCCAAGTATTCTCCAAAGTTTTTCTCTGGCTTCTTTGATATGTTGTCTAACACATCTGTCAGATCCAGAATCCCTACAGCAGCAATCAGTTCTCCCATCACCAACCGTGTCGCCGTTGTACGCAGACGGTCTAAATTCAGGCATTGGGATGACACAAATACCAGCCAGCTTAGTCTCATCATCATTATGATCACTGAGATCCAATTCTGAAGCTTGAGGAAAGTGAGTTAATGGTTCAGATCCATTTGAACCACCAGTAACATTCTTGGTACCCTGTGTACCCCATTCTGGTATATCAGCTTGAAAATCTGGTCCAACTGGAACTAGTTTCCGAGGAGGACATTCCAAGAGAGAGGTATATATCTCTTCAGAGTGAACTAATGTTCTTCTTGGAGGACCGAGACATCACAGTAACCCCCCTCACGGGTGAGGAATAGAATATGAAGTGATTCTGCAATAGTGGGGGTGTTCTAGGGCTTGTTCCCCCTCTCTCTCGCCGCCTTTGGGGGTTTCGGCACTGCCTTTTTCTCTGCAGCAAAATCTGGGTTTTGAAGCCGCATTTAAGTCGCCTAGTGGTTGTTCGACAGATTATTGTCTGGCTGGTCCTCTTTCAATTATTTCTGGCTACCATTTCATATCAGGACATCCCTTGGCAGCTGCATAACTCTGGTTCTGCATCCCTCAGCAAAACACATTCAAGGCTCAGAGGTGGCCTGAAATCGAAGAATGCAGAGCCTAATTACAATAAACATACCAGTAGCTCATCATAAGCTCTCCTATTTGTTGTTAGTTCGATGCCAAGAATGAACACTTGTCTACAGCAAGAGAAAGTGGCAAACCCTAATATCATTACTAGAGATTTGGAAGCAAGGTGTACAAACTTCCTACTTCATCCCTGGAAAATGCTGGGGAAGCATCAATAATGTCCTTAAAATTACTACTTACATTGCCAAATGGTATGGACATAATCAGCTATTTGTAGAATGGAACCCACAAAATTTTCATATTATTGGTGCTTTCGTAAAACCCCAAAATTCCAAAAATTGAGGAACTTTACATACTCCACTTAACACAAAAGAGAAAAATACACATACAATACAAGTACAGAGAAAACTATAAGCATTATCGCAATGGCATTTCCCCATATAATACCATCCTTAACAACAAAGATTATATCTGACACTGTGAATTTATGAAATCTAGTAACTATACATCTAGTCATCATTTGCAAATTTTAATCCACTAAGCATTCAAATATATTAGGAATTAATCAAGAGGATATCCAACTTTTTACTAATAAATGTCAAAACAGTAAACAGCCCAATAGATGTAAGATAAACAAGTTGAGTTCAGAAATGTCCATTGCATGCATTATAGAAGTTTGTGGTACAAACATTTCATCAAGACCATTACAGAATTATATAACCAAAATAGAAACAACAAAAAAAAAAACAAAACAAAACAAAACAAACAAACAAAATCTATCTGCTTCTTACAACGAACTACAATCACTATACCTAGGGTAAAACAAATTCTACGCATGGAAAATGAACAGAAAAGGGAGAGAATAAACTGGGGGGGAAGGGATTTCTTTTTTTCCCTGTCAACTAAGAGGCATGCTGGTAGCAGTAGAAACTAGGTTCCGTAGCTCCATCAAATGTTCATCATTTGATATATGGAGCGAAAGGCGAAGATTTGTCACCAATGTTTCTTGTTCCCAACTTAAGGGTCCCAATGCATGCAATGCCTCAATAGTGCAACAGTAGGCATGTAACTCTAACCTATGAATTTCTTCTGCCAATTCCACCTGACTGGGAAGGAAACAATTCCCTTCCTTAAAGCTCCTATGACAAACAGACTCAGCATCACTACAATTTCCTTCAGTATCTTCAACAGAAAAATTACAACGCAACTTAAAGGAATCATTGCTAGTAATGCTACAACTAGCCACAGAGCATGTAATATTGTATCAAAACTATTTCATTATTTTTTTTCTATTCAAAAACTATTTAATTTGATTTTTTTTAAAAATGACAAAATTAAGCCCTATATTTTCCATACAAAAATATCAACCCTTGACATTTGATAAAAAGATTTCCAAATTGAAAACAAAACAGAATATCTAAATTCTTTTTCAATTGAAAATACAAAGAAAATATCTAACCAAATTGAAACACAAATTCTTACAAATTACTAGGGATACTCGCGATTTAGTGGTTCAATTGCAGACAAATAAATCTCAAATCCGTCATCCGTTTAAAACTAGGCGGATTGAAAAAAATCAATCCATAACCATCTATTTTTCATCACTCATTCATCCAAAATGTAAGAGATCGATTTGAAAAAATCAAAATATCCGCTACTCACCCCTAAGTAAAGTGATAATGTCAGTCATGCTTGAAAAGCATTAGACATCATGTTGTGTATTGTTTAAAGGGAAGCCTTTGGTACACCCCCATTACAAATGTGTCTCAGATGTGCTTTTGTTACTTATTTGTTTAGTATTTTAGGATAAAATTATATATTTTGTAATTTAAATTTTTTTGATGAAAAAATATATAATATTATCATAAAAATACATAATATCACCACTAAATAGGTATCTTCATTTTTTAACAATAAATTGTTGTAGCTTAATTAAAATATTACGTAACATTTGTTATAAAAATATATAATAATAATATATATATATATATATATATGGTACATACCCTTAACAGGGGGTGAAGAAGTAAAAAAGGAAAAGGTTGCTGTGGGTCCTAGTAAGGACAAGAGACAAACTTCAATTTCTTCCACTCTTAATGAGATGGAATCTTGAGCTATTATACTTTCTTCATCACAGGATGAAAACAAGAGTAAACTTGAGGAGAAGACTAGCAGTCCATCCTACGACAATGGGATTGTTAAGAGGATGGAGAAGTCTTTCACTTCAAGGGAAGAGAACAAGAAGAAATTAGATAAGAAGATCAGATATTTACAGCTAGCAATGGAAAAAGGCTTTGCAAATCTGTCGATCAAACTGAAGAAGCCATGCTTCAAACCTTCAAGCAGAGGCCAAAACTTTCCAAAGCAAGGGCAAGGTGGAGATGCCAATGTTTCTTGGCTAGTTTTGCATACTAGCCTTTGGGTTTATGAGAGGATAGTCTTCTGTCTGTCCTTTGTATGTGACCTAGGTCCTTGGGTTGTGATTATGAGAGTCTTTGTAGTCTAGGTAGTACACAATGTAAGTTTCTGAATATTTCTGTATATTCAAATGTATTTTTGATACAAAGAGTACACTACTTGTATAGAACTCTAATCCCTATGACTAAAGGGAAAATAAGAATTACACAGAATATTTACACAATCACAATCATTCTAAATTCTTAAAATACAATATAGGCAATATATTTCTCACACATGACAGTGCCTCTTGGTCAGAGAAGATGCAGCTTCAGGGCATATCTTTATTTACCTGTTAGGGTTGTGTATTGAGCTTCATTTCACATCTCTATTATTTGGTAATAAAACTCATACCCAAAAAAATAAAAAAATAATAAAAAAGAAAGAAAGAAAGAAAGAAGACACCATCATCTGATGTCATGGTACAGAGTTCACCTACATTCTATTACGTATATTATAGGTGTGCCACCCACACAATTCAATACAGATTTTATATATCTCCGTCTGAGTTTCAACTAAATTCTAATCCACAGATTCATAACTAAAATGAAACTAATACAGACAAATCACTATCCAAATCAACTATAGTGGCAAATAAAAAAAACTTTGCAACATATGGAGAATGAAATCACACAGCTGCAAGAACAAGATGAAAAAATATGGATCAGCTGAGGTAAAGGTTCAAAATTAAAACCTTTCAAGTAGTCACATATCAGGACATCCCTTGGCAGCTGCATAACTCTGGTTCTGCATCCTTCAGCAAAACACATTCAAGGCTCAGAGGTGGCCTGAAATTGAAGAATGCAGAGCCTAATTACAATAAACATACCAGTAGCTCATCATAAGCTCTCCTATTTGTTGTTAGTTCGATGCCAAGAATGAACACTTGTCTACAACAAGAGAAAGTGGCAAACCCCAATATCATTATTAGAGATTTGGAAGCAAGGTGTACAAACTTCCTACTTCATCCCTGGAAAATGCAGGGGAAGCATCAATAATGTCCTTAAAATTACTACTTACATTGCCAAATGGTATGGACATAATCAGCTATTTGTAGAATGGAACCCACAAAATTTTCATATTATTGGTGCTTTCCTAAAACCCCAAAATTCCAAAAATTGAGGAACTTTACACACTCCACTTAACACAAAAGAGAAAAATACACATACAATACAAGTACAGAGAAAACTATAAGCATTATCGCAATGGCATTTCCCCATATAATACCATCCTTAACAACAAAGATTATATCTGACACTGTGAATTTATGAAATCTAGTAACTGTACATCTAGTCATCATTTGCAAATTTTAATCCACTAAGCATTCAAATATATTAGGAATTAACCAAGAGGATATCCAACTTTTTACTAACAAATGTCAAAACAGTAAACAGCCCAATAGATGTAAGATAAACAAGTTGAGTTCAGAAATGTCCATTGCATGCATTATAGAAGTTTGTGGTACAAACATTTCATCAAGACCATTACAGAATTATACAACCAAAATAGAAGCAACAAAAAAAAAAAAGAACAAAACAAAACAAAACAAACAGAGCAAAATTTATCTGCTTCTTACAACGAACTACAATCACTATACCTAGGGTAAAACAAATTCTACTCATAGAAAATGAACAGAAAAGAGAGAGAATAAACTGGGGGGGAAGGGATTTCTTTTTTTCCCTGTCAACTAAGAGGCATGCTGGTAGCAATAGAAACTAGGTTCCTTAGCTCCATCAAATGTTCATCATTTGATATATGGGGCGAAAGGCGAAGATTTGTCACCAATGTTTCTTGTTCCCAACTTAAGGGTCCCAATGCATGCAATGCCTCAATAGTGCAACAGTAGGCATGTAACTCTAACCTATGAATTTCTTCTACCAATTCCACCTGACTGGGAAGGAAACAATTCCCTTCCTTAAAGCTCCTATGACAGACAGACTCAGCATCACTACAATTTCCTTCAGTATCTTCAACAGGACCTCTGGAAAAATTACAACGCAACTTAAAGGAATCATTGCTAGTAATGCTACAACTAGCCACAGAGCATGTAATATTGTCTGCATCATTAGGTTCTAAGCTGATTGCATGCGAACACCCAACAGCTCCGCTTGGTTTCTCCCTCTCCACATCGACTTCAGTAAAGTGAGTTGTTCTGCTGTTAAAAGAAGTATAAAAGTTTTTTTCACCCTGCATTTCTCGATGGGACAAAACAGCATCTATCTTTTCAGGTAAAGGGGATGGATTTGCAGCAAGCAGAAGATGACACCTACCCTCTTTCGCAATTACTCTAAACTTCTGGGAAGTTCTTGCAGGTGCATCAACTTGAGAATAACAATCGGGCAATCCTCTCTTCAGAGTTCTGGAGGAAACAATATGTGATTCTTGGAAATTGTTATTGCTCTTAGCAGCACAAAGCTCCTTATTTACAGGGAAATTCATCCCTCTATCACCCCCCCCCTCCACCCCCCCCCCCCCCAAAAAAAAAAAAAGAAAAAGAAAAAGAAAGAAAGAAAGATAAAATCAATATAAGGTTGATCCCATTAAAACTATTGTTAAATTGTATGACAACAAAAAAAAAAAGAACAAGATCAATATTGCTCTAGAAGCCCCAAAATAAATCAACTAGTTCAAATGTCATTAATAACATATCCAAATAAACTTGAATCTAATTATTCTCAAGTGTTAACTTTTTATATCCGCATAAGAGTATCAGCTATAAACGGATTTGTGGAAAATTTGGGAAGCAGAAGATGCAAATTTTAGCAGAAGAAAGAGAATTCAAAACAAGAACTCCTAAATAATACATAAATAAAGACCGGACACTGGAATATTTGAGTTGCAAGCCTAAAACAGATTCAGAAAAAAAAACTACCTTTCCAATCACGAACCATTTGCCACCCTGCCAAGATTGTCGCACCCGGAGGTCAACTTTACTGACTTTGAATTCATGGGAGGATCCAAGTAACCTAACCAAAAAGCAATTCCTACACAAAACCTTAGAAACAGTTGCCATCTTCCAAGAAAAATTCTGAAACACCTCTACAACATCACCAGGAGACACAATTCTCCAATAGTTTCACTGGAGGAGGACAGGGACTAATTGACTTTCTAGCAATGCAGAAGAATGATGAGATTAATGTTATGCTTCATTTCCCTTTCCAAATCACTACTCAAATCCATAATGATCCAAACACAGACTAAGAGAATTGGAAACAATTGAGAAATTTGTATAGAGAGAGATAGAACTACCTTGCAGTAATTTAAAAGTTACAGATAACAAGTATATGATGAGACATGATGCATACATTCCATTGAATTCTTGTAATGACTATGTTAATGGAAACTGCCACAATTGATATCACCTATGTTATATATCAACATTTTTGTAGATATAAATCCTCTCTCTCTATTTATATAGACATTACATGTACCAAATATAGTGATCAGATGAACTATGTAAAAAGCAACATTAAATACATAAACCTAAACCTAAAGATCATCATACTATGTCCACCTGCGCCACAAAAAACAGCAATCTTTACAACAAGAAATGGCAGCAGAAAATTACCAACACGCAGTCCAAACTTACTTTCAGAGAACAGAAATTGTTTTCTGAAAACAATTTACATTAAAAGCAGAATCGAAGCGAAGCGAATAACCTTATCGGCGATTTGAGACTTCGCTCGAGAGAGGTTTGGATTGGTATGTGGGGAATTTGGTTTTGTTTTCAGTCTCTCGTTAACATTGTTGTTGTGGAGGTGATGGTGGTTATTTGGCCCGTTTGGAGAGATGTGGAACAATGATTATACATATATAACTTAATAAATATAGTTTATAGTCGTAAATATAAAATTGGGAGATTATAGATTTAAGCAATGGAGTAGCGTTTGATTAATAAGTTATAAAATAATTTTTTATTGTATAATTGTTTTTTCTGTCCTTATATGATATAAAAATGATTATTTTGTCATTTTTTTTAGTTTTAATTTTAAAAAAAATATCTCATTAATAAAAGTTAATATAATTAGTATTAATTAGTATCAATTAATATAAAAATTGATACATTTGTTAAAAATATAATGGAAGTATTATTGTCATAATTATTTTCTATTATAAATTAATTAGTATCAATTAATTGCTTAATTAGTATCAATTAATACTAAAATTATTAATTAGTATCAATTAATTGCTTAATTAGTATCAATTAATACTAAAATTATTAATTAGTATCAATTAATGGCTTAATTAGTATCAAAATTTAATTTTTATTAGTATCAATTAATATTAATAATCAACAATTGTTATTAATTAGTATCAATTAATAATTAATTCATTACAAAAGTATACAATATTAATTTATTAATAATTAATACCAATTAATATTGATTTTTTTTCTTTTTCTTCAGAAATATACATTTTTTTAATCTTTTAATTAATATAAAAATATATAATATGAATTTATTAATAATTAATACTAATTAATATTTATTTTTCAATTAATATTGATTTTTTTTTCCTTTTCTTTAGAAATATACAATTTTTTTTAATTAATATTAATATTTAGGTATTGACGAGGGCATTTAAGTAATTTTAACCCCCACACCAATTGTGCGCTTAAGTCAAAAATTTAAGTATCCCTTGACCAGCTTTTGAGATAAGTTAAGAAATAACTTGATTTACGATATAAACTGGTTAACTTAAGCTGCACCAAACACAATATTTTAGTTTAAATTAAATTAAAAGTTGAAATAAGTAGCTTATAAGCTCTACCAAACAGGCCTATCGTTGTGGGTGGGTGTTTTTTGTATTTTTGTTTTTAAAAAACAAAAACAAATCTGTTTTCTCTTTGTTTAATAAATAAACAAACAAAGAATAATAAAATGTATGCCAAGTTGCCAACTCCCCAAGAAAAGCTTTGTTTGGTTGAAAGGATTTTTCACTGCTTCACGTCATTGTGTGCCTGGTGCGTGCTGCGCACTCCGTCCTTTTGGATTGGGTAAATTGCACTTACATCCTGAAAGTTTGAGTTTTACACATATTATTCCTGATGTATAAAAAATTACCTTAATTCCCCTGTCATTGTAGATATTAAATTTATGCATTCTCTTTTCTTATTTTGCTTTAATTTCTCTCATTTTTTTTTTCTCCTTTGCTTTGCTTTTTTTTTCCCAATGTAATTTCTTCTATTTTTCTATTAAAAGTTGTTATCTTTTGTATAAATAAGAGAGTATGAAATGAGACTATTAATCACAAAAGTAAAAATGTAACTTTCAAAATATCAAGAAATGAGATGTAATTGGACCAAACCTCAAGGGTGCCAGTATAATTTACCCTTTTGGATTTTTCCCACTATTTCGTTGTTTATTATTACTTATATTATTAGTCACTATTTTTTTTTAGATAGTATTATTAGGCCTCGTTTGGGGAGTGACTATTTTAGCCAAAAAGTCAAAAAGTTCCTAAAAATTATCACATCACCTCTCTACTTTTTTACACATCTTTTCGTAAAAAGCCAAAAAATTACTAAAATAACATGTTCCTAAACAAGGCCTTAGTCAATATTTGGAATCAGTTTTTTTTTCCCCAAGTATTTGTTATTACTATTAGCTAAAAACAGGAATTTGATTTTTTTTTTTCAATTATTTGTCATCACTATTGTGGGGACATAATTTTTGAATCACAACACGTGGCCGAGGTGTCACCGAAGTGCCAACCGAGGTGCCACGTGTCCTGGTCATGACACCGAGATCGTCTCGGCTAGGTCGAGGTTATCTGCGAAGATACCGGAATCCGGGATAAGCGGATAAGAGACAAGAGTCCTAAAATGAGAAAAGACTTCAGTTTGGATAAAGATAAGACTCTTAGAGAGTTTATTCCAATCCTACTGGGAGTCCAAGATTAGTAATAATCCTAAGTCCATTGAAGCTAGGCTTCTATTGGGATTAGGTAAGTGTTGGCTATAAAAGAGAAGCACCCTCACGGTTATAAGGTATGCTTTTTATGCTCTGAATAGTGAGTTAAGCACTTTTGCTATCTTTGAGAGATAACTGACTTGATCGTCGGAGTGCCCCCTGGTGGACGAACCACCGCCGGAATCTCTTCTTTTTGTGACAGGTCGTTCGGGGTTAATCTATTCTGCTAGTGTTCTCCAGCTGAGTGCTTGTTTGGCAGTGTGGTCGGAAATTGACACACATAATTTGGCGCCAAATTGTGTGTGTCAATTTCTGACCACACGGTAGACGGCGCCAAATTGTGTGTGTCAATTTCTGACTACACTGCCAATCAAGCACTCAGCTGGAGAACACTGGCAGAATAGATTGCCCGAATGACTTGTCACAAAAAAGAAGAGATTCCGGCAGTGGTTCGTCCACCCGGGGACACTCCGACGATCAAGTCAGTTATCTCTCAAAGATAGCAAAAGTGCTTAACTCACTATTCAGAGCATAAAAAACATATCTTAGACCCATGAGGGTGCTTCTCTTTTATAGCCAACACAAACTTAGTCCCAATAAAAGCCTAGTTTCAATGGACTTAGGATTACTGCTAATCTTGGACTCCTAGTAGGATTGAGATAAACTCTCTAAGAGTCATATCTTTACCCAAACTGAAGTCTTCTCTCATTTTAGGACTCTTGTCCCTCATCCGCTTATTCCGAATTCCGATATTCTCGCAAATAACCTCGGCCTAGCCGAGATCATCTCGACATCATGACCAGGACAAGTGGCACTTCGACTGGCACTTCGATAACAAATCGGTCACGTATTGTCATTCAAAAATTATGTCCCCACAACTATTGACTAAAAATATTAATTTTGAGATTTATGAGTGTCTCATCAGTACAACTTACAACTAGAGGTTTGATGCCCAACTACGAAAAGTTGGCTTCCGACCCCTTCTTCATTTTTAAAACAATTCACCATGTTTTGTTTCAAAAAATTGAGTTTTTTTTTTCCGTATTTTTTTAATATTTTACATAATTTTTTTAAATACATCTAATTTAAATAAACTTAAAAATATAATTTGTGAAAAAAAAACTTTAAAATATTCAACAAATATAAAAAAAAATACAAAATAAATAAATAAATAAATAAAAATTCAATAGATTTTCGTATTTTGTTGTATTCAATGATTTTTTTTTAATTTTTTTTACTTTTTAAGTATATTCAGATTTAGTGGATCATAGATTTTTCGTTAGTAAGGGAAACAGACATTAGCTTTAGGACCAAAATGACTCAAATTAGTAACTTTAAGGATTAAAATGACAAAATTAAAATTTAAGAGATTAAAATAACAATAAGTGCATACTTTAGAGACAAATTGTTTTTTATCCATTATTTTATTATTGTTGACTAGTAGAATACACATTTTGAATTTGTATTTAATAGGTGACATCTCTAAATTGATTTTGTAGCTCCACTATTGCACATGAGATCTATCAT